GGATTATGGACGTCCGGATTAAAGACTTTTGACTGTATTATTCTAGAATGTGTATTTTATGAAATTTTCAAATATGAAATTTGGAAAATATAATAATAAAGCTTTAAAATTTATTCTGACAATTACCTGAGTATTCTTCTCATAATGTACCAAAAATTGGAACAATTGGATGAAAAATGTAATTTATATGAATTTTTTTCCAAAGTTAGGCTTAGCAGCGCGAATTGCCCGTCCCCACAAGACACGCATCCGGTTAACGCACCATCCCAAGACAACGCTTTTGTAACAGAGATGCCCGTCGTGAACGAAATAAGCAGGACCCTTATATGTAAAGCATGATGACAAAGTATGGCTTGTTTTGTTTACATGTGCCTTATACGGAGGTGTACACCTGGTAGTTTCATCCCTGTTTACAGAGGCATTCCTACTTTTCGTTTAAAGGCTTTATAGTTAGATGAGGATGACCTAGAATCATGTTTGCGTCAACAGTACAAATTTTACATGTGCCTACCATTACCTAGAAGAAATAGTTTGGGGGAAAATAAATCTATTAGTTAGGGTCAACATATTATTTGGAAATTTCTTTTTGTCACAGCAGTTTGGTGGCATAGACTTTTTAGAGTTGTTAAAGTGCTCTGTAAAAGATCTTTCAGAAAAGCTGTTATAACCTACAAAGGTCTCTAGTGACAGTAATATGCGATTGTGAAAGAGTCAAATTCTCAGCCTTTAAAATATTTATCAGAAGACATAGATCTGATTCCATTAACTCTAGCCATGTTCTTTTAATTGACAGATTGAATTCAGAAGTTGAAGATATTGACAAGGCTGATGATAACATTTTGAGGAAAAGAATAAAGTATTGTTCTGAGTTAATCGAAGTTAGAAAGGAATCTTTATTCCAACTTATCCAAAGGCATTGACAAAATCCTCAAATAAATTGTATTCAAGTCAATGACATCGTACTAGTGGAAGATGATTTAAAAAAGTGTTTAAACTGGCCTTTGGCCAGAATCATTGAATTATTTCCAAGTAAAGATGATGAAGTGAACTATGAATTAATGTTGGTAACTATGAAACTAAAAATATTAATTTGTCTTATTACACATATTAGTTTGTCCAATTCAAAGAATTTTTGCTCTAGAGATTTGCTGTCAAGACTTGCCCATGGAGCCTGTTCCAAGAGAAGTTTCTTCTTCATATGACTGATCAGCACAGTTGCCAGATCCAGATGATGATTCCAGAAAATTTCCAAAGATTGTGTCTCGATCTAGTCGTGCTGTCAAGAAACCGAAGAGACTGAATTTTAAGTGACTGTTTTAATGGTTATCCAGTAACTCCAAAGGGGGGGAAGGATATGTTGCTAATAGTGTCATTTCACACGTCAGCCTGCACGAGTCAAAGACCAACTGATCATGTGATGAACTGTTTCGTTTCAGATCTTTAGAATATAGCAACGGGATGTAATTTAAGACACAATAACACGCCGAATAAATACTAATTCAGAAGTCAAACAACAAAAATCAGCGTTAATTTGCAAAATTTTCACAGGACTAGTTTCGATGGTTTTACCGAACCATCATCTTCAGCTGCAAAACCGCAAAACGCATTTTGCGGTTTTGCAGCTGAAGATGATGGTTCGGTAAAACCATCAAAACTAGTCCTGTGAAAATTTTGCAAATTAACGCTGATTTTTGTTGTTTGACTTCTGAATTAGGGATGTAATTTCTTACCAGATGTAGTCAGAAAGATGTATAGGTTTTCATATAATTAAATTGTTTTTAGCCTTTAATGTGAAACCTATGCTTGAAGTATGAAAGACACTGCAGCTGAAAACATTTGCATTGTTGTTTCATCTACTGACTAAAGATCTTTCACATTTAAGTGTGCAGCTCTTATAATGCCAGCATAATAAAGTAAACCAAACAGAGCTTTAATTTCTGCTTTGTAGGTTGTCAGTGCACTTTTTTAATCATTAATTTTGGCTTTAATGGATTCAACATCAACATTTGTGCATTCGACAGTAACGTTTACAGTATCATCTGAAGTGATTAAAAAAAGTTTCTTCCACACTTTTAAGAGATTTGTAATTGGGCTTTACACCAGGTAAACGAGACATAGTATTACATGACACATATTTTTCAAAGGAGGTCTTTATCCATTTAGTTCCATCTTTGCCAAGATAATATTCATTATTATCTTGTTCACTCAAGTCTGAATCTTCTTCTTGTTAACCTTCAGAAGGCCCACTGGCTTCAGTTAATCTGAGCTTCCATAATTTATTTATTTATTTTTTTTTTTTTTTGGGTGTCTGTCATATGAAACATCTACGAGAATATCTTGCAGTCTCTGTAGCTCTCATTTATACCTCTTCAGTATCGCAATGTAAAATGATTGCAGATCGTCAGCATATGCAGTGCTTAAAGTTGATGCAGACATATTACCCCACACAGAAAAAACCTACTTTTCAAGTTTCTGTTGCTAGAACTCTCTGTTACTAGATTAACCATTAACGTGAAGCAGAAGTGACAGGTGCAAGTTTTAAGAAATTCTTAAAATATCCATGAAGAATTCAGAGGCTGTTCTTACCATTTTTTAGACGATGTATATTGTATGAATAAAACTAAATTACATAAAATTCTTGTGTTTTAAATGTTTTATTTGACATCCCTTATTCTGAACTATCTTTCGACACTGCAATTTCCAGGATAATAATGCCTTTTGAAGTGGCAGAAGAGATATTCTATCCCATTCCTCCCGAACAGCTTTCCGAAGTCCTGTTAGGGTTTTGGGACAACATTTGGATAATGCAGTTTTTAAAAGTCCGAAAGCACAAAAATCCATAGGTGACACATCGGGAGATTTAATAGGGATATCAGTGAAGTGTATGGCCTTGATACCAGTTTTTTGTTCCATTTCTTTTAGGAAATTTACAGTGGATTTTGATGTGTGACTGCTAGCTTTGTCCTGATGGAGTCTCACAGATTGATGTGAGATAAAGGCGATGGTATTTTTATTCAGAAAAGTCGGCGATAAAGTATGTTCCTGATAGTATTTGGAGTTAATCTTGACATTTTTTTGCACTCTCTTTATTTTTAACTTGCCATTATAAGAAAAACCAGCAACAATCATGAATCCCTTAGAAAAACTTTCTTTTGATTCTTTGAACCATGTACTTAATTTTTTTTCTCCCCTTTTATGATAATAAATGGCTTTTTTTTTTGTTACAATCATTTAAATACACCCATACTTCATCTATTGTGACGGATAAGTGTTTCTCATATAGAATTCTGCAGCGTGTCCTGCGTTGAGCGATATGCTTTGGAAGAAGACGATGCACATTGCGTTTTTTCGATTTCTTAAGATTTAAATCAACGTTTATCATTTTGTTTACAGTGGACACCGAGCATTTTAATGATTTTGCAACTGTCCTTTGACTGGGGGAGGGGGGATTTTCTTTTAACATTAAACAACGTATCTTTGCAATATTCGAAGATGTCCGTTTTTTTCCTTGTATACTTGTTTGCAATTTTTGTCCCATTTGAGGCTCCAATTTGACGTATTTTTCCTTTCTTGTTGATGATATTACCTATCGACGCTTTAGATATCACAAAACCATGACTCTCACATCGTTTTCAGATAACGGAGTATGCATATTTCTCTTCGGAAAGAGCGTAAATGTACCCTTCGAACCACTGCTTTGTTAAATTCACCATTTTGAATAACAACAAAACTTTCAAGCCACAGACAATAATTTTGTCTTTTAAAAACATAGTACAATTGCAAATACTTCTTTTGCAGCAAAAAATTTTTTTTTACTGCTTACCAAAATCGTCTAAAAAATGTGCGGACAGCCTCTAGATCAGGGGCGTAGCTAGAGGGGGCATCTGTCCCCGGGCGCAGGATCCAAGGGGTGCCAAACTGATGATACGACATTTTAGAATTAAATGTTTTCTATTCTTGGCAAGCAGTAGGGGGCGTGAAATCTTCAGTTGTCCCTGGGCGCTGAAAACCCTAGCTACGACTCTGCTCTAGATATTGAAAGGGCTGTGTGCTCCATGAAGGGAGGGGAGTTATATGCTCCAGAATGTTGATATAAGATGTGACTCCTGCACTGAATCCTACTTACAGCATGCTAGTTAGCTTCTTGATGTTATCACTAATATTGTGATATAATCATAACATGCATTTTAAATGGCTATGAATGAAAGTAGTGGAATGATCTGTTACTTTATCAACTGTTATCGAACCTCTTCATTGTTTTTATCTTGATAAGTGACCATCTTCATTGTGAATTATTACAATGGCATGATGAAGCACAAGCTGCAAGTATTCTGAATAAGTTTTTGTATAGATTTTGTTTCCATCTATCTTGAATATCTTACGCCAGTTTTCTAGTATTTGCCTATGGTATAACATAAATGTAGAATGAATATAGCTAATAGGAATCTGCACTGTATTCTATATAATATGTTGTCTTCAAGTTCAAATAAAAAGAAATTATGTGACGGCAGACTTCAAGGTAGTTACTTGCACATATATTAAAAGCAAGTACTGAAAATGGTGGCAACTGTGCGTGCTTGTATCATTTGTATTTGAATTTTATTTATCAATTTATTTGAATCAGCAATTAAATAATTAAGTTACTATGTTATCTTAGGTTTGTTTAATTGTCAATAATGTTTATTTTTTTACTCTCAAATAAGGAAATTAAGAGCAAATATATTACTTTTCTGAGTGTAAAGTTCTAAACTGTTTACATTCTTTAGATTTTCTAATATTTTTTTTATTTATGGTTTATATATGTAAGGTTTGAGTGTTTTTAATGAATCACATGAATTTAAAAAAGGGTCTTAATTTATGATGTTAAGGCTATCTCTTTCTAATTATATGGCATTACAATTAGTGTATTACAAACTCCTCTAAAATAGTTTTTATTTTTTATCTTTTGATATTGATTATAGTTTAATTTTGAAATATGTGAATTTATTTTTACTTTATAGGCGATTTTGTGGTTATTTTCTCGTGTGGCTAAGGACAATATTGGATACATTAATTGGAATCCTTACATACCAACAGTAAATATATATCTCCTGCTCATTATAATTCTCCACAATTTGATATATTGTAACTAGTTGTTTTGTATAAATTTTAGTCTCAACAATAAAATAATATTTTCTTGTAAAATCTGTTTTTAATTTTCTCTTTCCTAGTTTTATTTATTTAAAGTTTTATATTGCTTTCTTCTTTTTTATGTATGTTAAAACTATATTAATCTGCTGTTGATTTTGCTAGATATTTACTAGGCTTCTACGTAGCTTTAATCTGCCAGGACGGTCTAACCAAGTTCAAGTGTATCGATATGGTTCCTCCTTTCATACCACAGCTGTAGTCAACTTAATAGCATCTATGTTGGTAAGAGAAGTGCTAATTCAATGCTTTATCTGTCGCATTTCTTTCTGATATTTTTAGGGTGAAATTTCCATTCTTAATCTGATAGAAAATTTAGTTTAATAAATTTATTTTTGATGAAGACTGTATCTACGTATCTTACATTCATGCAGGGAGGAGGAAGCAGTTGTCAGATATATATTGGTCGACTTTTCAAAACATTGGAATCATTTTTTCATCCTTCTAATCTTGGCAGGTGGCTGGTAAGCATTATGTGTTTTAGATTTATTTTTATTATTGTAAAATGAGTCTGTGAATTCATCACATAGCGTAGAGACAGAGATGTGTAAAAATTAGTACATACTTCAATACCTTCAAAATGATTTTTCCAAATTTAGATTTTTGTTTTTAATTTAATTTTTTGGGGGATGAGTTAAATTTTTTATCTTCGCTTCATGAGCAACCAAATCAAATCATGTATCTTCATTTTATGAACCAAAAAAAAAAAAAAAAAAAAAAAAAAAAAAAAAAAAAAAAAAAAAATTCAGAATTTTTTGCTCAAATGAGTAATACTTCTAGAATGTTGAAATTTGCAGTATCTGGCAGAGCAGGGGGGGGGGGCAACTTTCAAATTAAATTTATTTTGAATCTTTTAATTTACTAATATTTGGTAATTTTTCTAAAATAGCTGTTTCTTGGTGGGAAATGTAATTATAATACATCTATTAGATTTAAATTGTTGCATCTTGTAAAATGTAGGTTTCATATCATCTTGAGATTTCCATATATTATAACGATATTATTCTTTTAAAACAATTGTAAAATATTAATTAAACAGTCTTCTAGAATTTTTTAATAATATGCTGGAGTACAGCTTTGAGCAGCAGACATTTCCATTCTTTATGATGTTCATTGATCAAGTGATCACAAAATTGATATTTTATTTGAGGCTAGTTTTGACATTGTCATATGTCACACTTTTTTCCCGTGTGTCATTTTGCTCATACTAATTGTTCTCCTTTAAATACTGATTTTATTTATTTATTCATTCTCTCCCCCCCCCCATTCTTGCAAGGAAATTAGTCTTACTACAATAGGACCTTTGCCTTTTATAAGTATTTTTTTTTTTTTAAACTTTTAGGCTAAATTTTTTCATTTAGTGCTCATTTTATTAATCTCATTTTTCTTTACTGTGTAATTTAAGAGTTCTGCATACCAAATCGAAGGCTTGTGATACAATTGGCTAATGTGCTATAAAAAAGTTTAATTTACTTTGTTTAAAATTACAGTAACAGACATGTTTATTTATGTTTATTTATTTCTTATAGTTTTTTAACCCTTATGCATGTAAAAATATTTTGTTTTATAATACCAAATTGTGGAATCTTTCAGCCAAAATTGCAGAAACTTCTACATAAGCTTCCACTTGCTGTGATTAAACGTTTACACAGGTATTATCCTTTTTAAATTCTTAAAATATTATTAGTTTTAGCTTTTAAATATAATGAAAGAATTTAATTTTTTTTGTAATAGTAATATATTAATTTATATAAGAAGCAATTGAGAATTACTTTTCCCTTTACAAAATTTTCATTATATTAGCTTTTTCTTCAGCTTAAAGACAGTAGGAAGCTAAATAAAAATGTCTTCAAATTTCCTAAAAATTTGATTTTAGTTTGAAGTTTAAAAAAAGGATTTGAATAGATTATAAAACTAGTGTAGGTCACTGATTTTATGTTAAGCTATTGCTTACGTTATTATTTTAAAGCTGATTAATGTCTTAAAAATCTTTATTTTGGATTTAATTCTAATTTGGATACATATTTTGTTTTGATTTTTTGGTACTTACATATTTTCCCATCGACTGTGAAAGTTGACAAATCTGTCCAAAACTGCATCAACAATTCTGATGGAAGTTTGAAGAGCAGATTGCTCTTTATTTTATTAGATTACTGCAGTAATAATTCTTTATTTAGTTAGATCACTATGTATTTAGATAATTAATGGATGCAAGTTACAAATATGGCATATAAAATTTTAAATAATTATAAGCTGAAACTTTGAAATTATCCAACAAAGAAAATCGTTATAACTGGTAAGTACCCTTCATTCCGATGGTCAAAATTTCCTAATGCAGTATAAAATAGCAGCAAAATTGTCACCTATTTTGTGCACGCAAGTTGCTCTGTTATGTTATGTAGAAGTGAGGAGGCCACCTAATATTCGGCACTCGTTCCTTTCAGCGTTAAATTAGCTCAAGTAAAATGATTGTTACATATTATACATTGCGATGTACATATAATGTTGTGCAGGTGCCTATTTTAAGATGTTATCTATTGCAGTGGGTACGGGCAACATGTTTCAGGACATTATATATTGCAGTAGAAACAGGCAGGATGTTCCCACGTTACAGATTTTTGTAAACATGATCTGTTTACATCAGTGTTTACTATCAGAATTAAGTAAGAGATAAAAAAAATTGTTTACAAAGCTTACATTTAAGTACTGTTGTAAAGTTGTGCTGAAACTTTAGCAGCTAAATTTTGATGATTCATTATGTGCTGTAACATATGTTTTTGTGATAACTGATTTTCAGAAATTGCATTATTATCTAGCAGTACATTGCTATGTACATGTAAAGATTGGTCATGACATTATAAATTGTGGTGGCTAGAAGCAACTTATTTCTAGTTTATAGATCATGTCTACAGTCATGACTTGTTTACATCATTATTTACAATCAGCAGTCAAAATTAGAATATAAAGTAATAATAAAAAGGGCATAAATAAATAAGTTTGAAAACAGAAGGAAAAAAGTGTAGAAAATGATGATGTATGCTTACGTTGATTGCCTGCAGAATCACAAACATTTCTGATGAAAAATGCTATTCTCTTTGTCAAGTTGGAACTTGAAATCTTTTGTGTCATGACTATTGAGGTAGATTTTTATAGCACATCATTTTCCTTTGTTTATGCCAGAACCATCAGTGTAGATCTTCGGAAATAATGTTTGGTATCTATTCTGCCTCATGCAAAGTTGTGATATTATTTCGACTAGCTGGGTCTCTCTTGTATGGATGGGTCGGTGAGGTGTAGGAGCTGGCAGCTACTATCTTATTTTTTATTTTGCAGTCTTTTCTTAGCTGAAGAACTGAAGCCTTTGCATGTTCCTGCTCTGCAACTAAGAACAGAGGGAGGCTGCTGGTGAGCTGAAACAGAATAGCATTTGAGGTTGTTCTGTAAGCTCAAGAATAATTTAAAAAGAAGGTCCTTTGGAGGGATTGGAGTTGCTTTTGTTTTCATACTATCATTGGTGACTCCCATATCGCTGCACCATACAGTGCTATCTTTTCTATAACAGTGTTTTATAACAGCTTTCGTATGTGGGAGTTCAAGCCCCATCTGACACCTCGCATTCTTTTCAGTTTATTAGCTGTACTGGAGGTTTTCTTCTAAATTTGCTGTAGGTGCTCAATAAAGTTAAGTTTATTATCTGTTGTAATCCCAAGATATCTTAAGGATTTGACTATTTTGATTTTGTTGTTGTCAACGTGGATTTTCGGTTATCTGTTTTTATATATATATATATATATATATGGCTTATGAAATATCATGGCTTAGGATTTTTTATGTGATATTGTTGGTTTTTGATGCTTGCAAAGTTTGTTAAATTTTTCCAGAGTGGTATTAACATTGGCCTCCAATACTTCTCTAGAGTGTCCACTGATTACAAAGGCTGCATCATCAGCAAATGCAATGCCATTTGTGTGTCTGGCCATTGATGTTGCACTATTTTATTAAATGCTAGATTCCAGAAATCAGCTCTAAGACGAGACCCTTGTGGACAGCCTCTTTTTTGGTCTCTCTCGATGGTTCTGCTGTTGGTTATTATTATGTTCTTTCTGTTGGAGAAATAGTCCTTGAATACTTTAAATAGGTTCTTCAAGTATTTGATTTCTTTAAGTGTGCTTAATACCTCACGCCACTAGAGTGAGTCGAAGGCCTTTTTAAGGTCTAGGCATAGTAGAGTGGAATGTAGATTTTGGCCTTTGTTGTTAGAAATTTGGATTATTATTTTGTTGATTGCATGTATTGTGCTTATGTTGGGTGTGAATCCAAATTGCAAGTTACTGATGCTATTTGATTTTTCTCATGTTTTGTCTGAGGCGATTTGCAAGGGCCCTTTCAAAAACTTTTCCCAGCGCTGGAAGAAGGCTTAATGGCCTATATGAGCTTGGATGGGATGCATCGTGACCTTTCTTATTGAACAGTATTATCTGTCCTATCTTAAAGCAGGAGGGGAAAATACTGTATTGTAGGCATTTTTGTTTATTAGTACCAAGATAAAAGAAGAGAAGTGTTTGTTTATTATTTTTATTATTACATTATCTATTCCATCTGGGCCTGAAGCTTTTTTCTTTGGCAGATTTTTAATAATACTAATTCGAATTCTGTGAAGGGAGTGTCATCTTGTGTGCAAGGTTAGGTTAGGTTATTTAATTACTCGAGGGCTATCTGCCTAAGGGGGGAATGCCTTCGTGGAGGACTTTCTAAGGGAAACTGGCTCGTATACACGTTACACATGGGGAAAACCACGAAAACGCCCATGCAGCCAGCCCATTCGCGGGATTCGAACCTTGGACCGAACTACCAGTGTTCAGCGACTTTACCGATCGGCCTCTTGTGTGCAAGGAGGCCGGGTATTTTCTCTTCTCAATCTTTGTGCTGTTGTACCACCTTCAGCATCATCTTTTTAGAAATACAGTGTCCATAATTTTTTTTCTATTGCAGTTGTGGTAGCATCCTCTGATCCTGAGGTATGTGAAACTGAATGGATAATTATTATTTGGGAAGGTTTGAAAACTTTGCGCAGATTTTGTAAATCGGACCATAGGGGTCTTTACTGTTTGATATGTATATTTTCCAGCAGTTTATTTTTGCTGATCGAATTTCTTTTTTATAGAAAGCTCTCTGTTTGGTGAAGATTATGTATGCTGCTGTTCTAACTGCTTCTGTTTTTGCCTACTTCATTCTTCTCTTTAAAGCTCTGGTTTTTTTATTGCATTTAGATCGAAGTTAGGTTATCCACCAATTAACTTTCTTGATATCACTAGGATTTTTAATATCAAAGGATTTTTCACAGTGGGCTTGAATTTGGCCATTTCGTAGTTAAGTCATCTAACTGGACTTCATTAGTTTAATTTTTGAGTTCATTTATTATTAAAGGAACTTCCATTCAGATTGAATGTACAAATCTTTTGATCCTGTTAATTGTGGTTTTGAAGCACTTTGTTGTTATTGCTACAGTCTGCGCATCAAATTCATATGATATTAATTTGTGGTCTGAAATTACTTCATCCTGCATGACCGTCCAGTTCATGATCCAGCGGGCCAGAGCATTATTTACAAGTGTTAGGTCAGGCCACCCTTTTCCAGGATTTGTTTCGAATGTCGGTGGGGCAGAGTCTCCATTTATTAATGCTAGATTGTAACTATTAATAAAATCTTCAACTTCCATTCATCTTTGGTTAGTATGAGAGTATCCCCATAATTGGTTATGGGCATTAAAATCCCCTCCAATGATGTGGAGGGAATTTGGGAATCTGCTGATGATGTTACCTAGTTGGTTGAGGTTTGTAAATAGTTCCTCTGCTGGAGAACTATAGAAGGAGATGATGAGCAGTTGTTCCTTTGAAGTGTTTAAGGCTATTGTTACTAAATCTTTAGAGGTAAACATTGTTGATGAGGACCAATTCTTGTTGTAGCATATGATAGCTGATTTCATTTGATTTCCGTTTTTGTCTTGATGTTTGTTTAAATTCCAGCTTGACGGGATACCGTCAACTTTTCATCTTATGCAATAAGGCTCTTGAACGAGCACTATATCATAATGGTGTTCTGCCAAGAAAAGTTCAAACTTTGCAGATGATGATGCTTGGGCTCTTTGCAAATTAATTTGGAGAATCTTGATTTTAGGTGTGTTGTTTCATTTTATTAGTGGGGTTGAAGGGAGAGGAGTCATTGATTTGCTAACTCGCTATTTTTTCCTTCCTTGGTTGGATGTACTGTAGTCCATTCTTTCCTTGATCTTTTGTATTTCACGATGGTACATCGGGCAGGTTGAAGCAAATGCAGCATGATTTATATCGATTATTATTTGTGAAATCGCTGTCATTCACATTATTGAAAAGTTTGCACTTAATTCAAGTTAGTATCTCTACTTTACAATTTTTAATATCATGCTGTCCCCCACAGAAGGTACAGTGCTAAGTCTGAATTTGGTGCGCTCTGTAGCCACTGAACATTTGTTTTCTTTCCATTATCAACTTGAATATTAATGAGGAGCATTCTATGATCCATTTTATTGCATTGTTTCATTTATCGTTTACTTTAAATATTACTCATTGTTTGTTATGGAAAAGTTTGCTGTTATAATATTATGCATTTCCTC